CAAAAGCAGTAAATGACATCGCATGGGGGTGGGGGGAGGTGGGCGTGCAGATGCGTGCTGGGTTGTGTCTGGCCTCGATGTCTGCCGCCGGTGAGGCAGGGTGTCGGCTTCCGCTGTGGCCTCCAGGATGAGTGGTGCAGGGTTCCCTGAACCCCCTGTGGCGAGCATGGCAATGCATTTCCATCTCCATGTGGCTCAGGGTAAGAGAAAGAACCCACAACGTAAACAAGGTCGCCCATGAGCCCCTCTTCTAAGTGCTGAACAGACATCTTTTCATCTCCCCATCCCTTCCGAGGGAGCTGCTGGCAGCACCCCGATTCTACAGCTGAGGGAAGTAAGGCTCGGAGAGGTCAAGGAGCTGGCACAGACTGGCACCACCCGGCCCGTGCTATGTTTGTGCCCTGCCAGGAGCCGCACCCCACCAAAGGGAGGCGGCCAGGCATTGCCGGCGCGGCATGGCGGGGAAGACAGACCTTGAACAAGTAACGAACTGCGAGTGTGATGAGAGGCGGCACTCAACGTTGTAGGTGTGCCTAATCTAGCCTGAAGAAGAAGCAGACGTTCAGGGAAGGCTTCCTGGAGGAAGTGATTATTAAGCAAGGGTCCTGAAGGATGAACACGAGTTAGGTAGCAGCATTGTCCTGGTAGAGAATAGCAGGCAGAAAGATTTCTAGCCAAGAAAGGACCTGGCTGTAGAGAAAAGCAGAAAAGACCTCTCACAAAATCCATAAATAGGAAGAACTTGCATTGATTAGGTGCTTACTCTGTGCCGGGCGCTGTTCTGTGCATTTCACGTGTATCAACAACTCATTTCATCTCCCAGCAACTCTACGAGGCAAGTCAATTGTTACCCCCATCTTCTGTCTGAGGCACAAACAAGGGGCGTAAATAACCCACCCACAAGCAAATGGTGCAAAAGTGGCGAGGGCAAGGGAGGGTTGGACCTGGGAGTCTAGCTCCAGAGCTTGTTTGCAAACCACCAGTCTACGCGGCCCCTCCTTCGTCATGAGAATAGAAAACCAGAGTCACCAGACTTCAGAGGCCAAACGGCCCCGCCTTATTTTACATGTAAGGACGCCGAGGATTGGGATCAGGCCCCCTGCCCCCGGGACCAGAGGCCAGCTCACATCTTGTCTTCTGATTCCACACGTGGGAAACTTACACCTGAGAGGTGAAACCCAGGAGAAGACTGTAAGACTCACTTCTGACTAAGAAACTTCGATTTTCTTAGGCTATGACCTTGACCATGAGTCAAATCACATCATCCCTTCAATCTACTGAAGGAACATCCAGAATCCATCCCAGCCTGCACTGTGAATCCCAGACCTGATCTTCATTCCAGTAACAGCCCAGTGACAGCCTTTGCGGGCTCACTTCCTGGGAGGAGACTGAGTTCACTTGTTACTCGTAGATGAATAGGGTGTATGATGGGATGGAAAGACAGACGACTTCACAAAAATGTCATTTACTGAGTAATTGTCAAAACCGACGCTAGTGGACATGACCTTGAGATTCTCGAGCGAAAGGCAGCTGAGAAGCAGCTCTGTGTGCAGATGAAATGTGTAGGTCTTATCATGGAAAGCATCCACAAGGGACGAGGGCATCATTTAGGGAGAAAAGTGTGAAAGGGAAAAGAAAGGAAACCTCACTCCTTCTCATTTATTACTACAACCGTCTCAGGTTGGCTTTTAGAGATCTACGTTTCCTGACCTGTGTCCCTAAAATACACCCAGAAATACTGTGAACTTGCACACGCACACCAGGAAGGCCAGCGGTAGACTTTTCATTGAAAACAGCCATTGAAAACTTCAATCTACCAACTCCCAGCCAAGATGGAGGTGTAGGTAGATATAATGTACCTCCTCACACAACCACAAGAAAGACAACGACAAATTTAAAAATAAAAAATAACCGGAACTCTCAGAAAAGCAAACTGTACGTAAGTCCAATAACCAGGGAGTTAAAGAAGAAACATTCATCCAGACTGATAGGATGGGGGGAGATAGGCAGCCGGGGTGGAGAGGAGGCAGGCAAGGTGGTGGCTGGTGGACTGGGGTGGGCAAGGCTGCAGCTGGCGGAGTGGGCGGTCCTACATTTGCGTATGGATAAACTGGGAGGAACAACTGGGGGCAGAGAATGACCACACAACCCTGGGTTCCAGTGTGGGGGAAATAGTCTCAAAATCTCTGACTGAAAACACCTGTGGGGATTGAGGCTGCAATAGAAACTCCCAGCCTCACAGGAGAGTTCGTTGGAAATACCCACAGGGTCCTAGAGTGTACACAAGCCCACCCACCCAGGAATCAGCACCATAAGGGCCCAATTTGCTTGTGAGGAGTGGGGGAAGTGACTGAGAACCAGCAGAGAGCAGAGCAAGAGGCACTGTTCCCTCTCTGACCCCTCCCCACATACAGTGCCACAATGCAGCCACCTGGGTTGCCCTGTCCTGGCGGATACCTATGGCTCCGCCCCTCACCGTGTAACAGGAATGCTGAGACAAAAAAAAAAAGCCAAAATGAAAGAACAGATCAAAGCTCCAAAAACAGAACTAAGCAACAAAGAGATAGCCAACCTATCAGATGCAGAGTTCAAAACACTGGTGATCAGGATGCTCACAGAATTGGCTGAGTATGGTTGCAAAACAGAGGAAAAAATGAAGGCTATGAAAAGTGAAATAAAGGAAAATATACAAGGAACCAACAGTGAAGGGAAGGAAACCGGGTATCAAATCAACGGTTTGGAGCAGAAGGAAGAAATAAACATTCAACCAGAACAGAATGAAGAAACAAGAATTCAAAAAAAGGAGGAAAGGCTTAGGAACCTCCAGGACAACTTTAAACGTTCCAACATCTGAATCATAGGGGTGCCAGAAGGAGAAGAGGAAGAGCAAGAAATTGAAAACTTATTTGGAAAACTAATGAAGGAGAACTTCCTCAATCTGGCAAAGGAAATAGACTTCCAGGAAGTCCAGGAAGCTCAGAGAGTCCCAAAGAAGTTGGACCCAAGGAAGCACACACCAAGGCACATCATAATTACATTACCCAAGATGAAAGATAAGGAGAGAATCTTAAAAGCAGCAAGAAAAAAGGAGACAGTTACCTACAAAGGAGTTCTCATTAACCTCTCAGCTGATTTCTCAAAAGAAACCTTCCAGGCAAGAAGGGGCTGGAAAGAAGTATTTAAAGCCATGAAAGGCAAGGACCTACATCTAAGATGGCTCTATCCAGCAAAGCTATCATTTAGAATGGAAGGGCAGATAAAGTGCTTCCCAGACAAGGTCAAGTTAAAGGAGTTCATCATCACCAAGCCCTTATGATATGAAATGTTAAAGGGTCTTGTCTAAGAAAAAGGTGATGATCAAAAATATGGGGGAAAAGGTACAGGGAAGAAGAAGCATAATTGGTAGGCATGAAATAGATGGGGAGAGGCCAATAATGGCATAGGAAACAGAGGACTCAAAGAACTTCTATGTACAACCCATGGATATGAACTAAGGGCGGGGAATGCTGGAGGGCTGGGGGTGCAGGGTAGAGGGGAGATAAAGGAGGAAAAGTTGGGAAAACCTCAATAGCATAATCAATAAAATATACTTAAAAAGAAAAACAGAAAAAAGAAAAAGATAAAAAAATATAAACAGTAAAATGACAATAAACTCACAACTATCAACAACTGAACCTAAATTAAAAAAAAAAAACACTAAGCAAACAAGTAGAACAGGAACAGAATCACAGAAATGGAGATCATGGGGAGGTTTATCAGTGAGGAGGGGACGGGGGAGAATGGGAAGAAAAGGTACAGGGAATAAGAAGCATAAATGGTAGGTACAAAATAGACAGGGGGAGGTTAAGAATAGTATAGGAAATGGAGAAGCCAAAGAACTTATATGTACGACCCATGGACACGAACTAAGGGTGGGAGGGATGCTCCTGGGAGGGGGGCAGTGCAGGGCAGAGGGGAATAAAAAGGAGAAAGAAAAGGGAAAACTGTAATAGCATGATCAATAAAATTTTTTTTTAAAGAAGAAAACTTTAAGCTACCCCCTTTAGCAGCTGACATCATGAAGCTCTGAGGCAATTTTAACAAATTGGGTCACCACTCCAGGTAAGTTCAAGGAAAACTGTTTTCCACCTTCAACTAACCTGACAGACAGCACAGGTGAGGGACGGCGCCCCACTTGGGACATCACGGGGGAGGAATGTTTTTCCAAGCCTTTGGCTTCCATTGCCACCATAGTATGTATTTTTTGCTTATGAGAAAGGCATTTACCCTGGGGAAATTCTTAGGCAGAAGGAGGAAAGTTTCTCAGATATTTATAGCTAAAATATTTCAAAGCATAGGTAGCTATATTTATGCTGGGCTCACATTTTGACAAACACTTAAGCATTGCTGCCCACAGAGAAATTCTCGGTGTCACTTTAGAAATGTTCTCTTTCACCACAAATGCCAGCTACTTCTGCTTTTAAAAAAGCAGGTAAAAATTTTGAAAACATTGCAAAATATGTTCCAGCCTGCATGCAGCCTTTTACTTAGAATTTGCCTCTTCAATTCTTTTCCAAACTGATTAAAAATTTAAAATCCACTGTTAGCGAGAAAGATAATGAACCACCACAGGCCAGCTTTGGGGGAGACAGAGGCTGGATGAGAAATAAAAGTTGACTGGACCATTCCCCCCTGCCTGGGGAGAGCCTCATAAACACGGGATGCCTACCTGCAAATAGGCAGTCAGGTCCCCACATCCTGGTCTAGTGTAATTTCTCAGGTCAGCCTTTCATTAGCCAGGTAAATATTTTCAAAGACTTTAAAGACTGTTTCCCAACAATGTCTCTGATCCCATTATCCTCATTTAATAAATAAGAGCAACGGATGTCCAAGCAGCGCCCAAGACCAAGAGCAAGGACCGGAACCTGCCCCGACCGGGAGATGACACTCCCTCTGACCTTCTGTCACCTTGGAGTACCCCAGGTCACTGCATTCGGCCTTTGGGTGGGACCCGCACGTACCTGATGAATTCCACAGAATAGTACTGAGTGGGGGAGCTTCCTTCACTCTCGCCCGGTTTCCAAGACAGGGCCACCTCGGACTCGGACACCACAGTGACCAGCGGCCGCTGGGGCGCTGTGGGAGGCAGGCAGGACTCTAGGCAAGACAGCAAACAGCTGTTGGCTGGGGACCTCTGCTGCTGGGGACGCTGAACATGTAACAAGACACGTGTGCTTCCCACCCATCTAAACCTCTCTGTTCAGGACCACCTCGGAATCCAAACCACACAAACAGAACGACAGCTACAACCGGATTCACCAGGTAAGAGGTGAGTCCTTCTTCCCGCAGCCCTGACGCTGGCCGGAGATTCAGCTAAACGCTCATCCGGACCATTGACCTTGGGACACTCCACGGTGAGCACCCTTGAACACCTCCAGTCACTCTTCCACCTCCTAACAGCCTTTCCTCTCGGTTTGCACGTTGGAATTGACATGTGCCTACAGGGGAGATAAATGCGGAGCCACTTTCCGTGCATGTGAGTGTGTGTGTGTGTGTGTGTCCTCCACGCCTGGTCATCAGAGTATATGCTGCCGCTAGGGCACGTGGGAAACGCCCTCCAGCGCAGAGAAGGAGGAGCTACCCATGATCCTCTAACCCCAAGGTATCCACTGCACTGTTTTCATTCCCAGACTTTCATATCCCTTGGCCATCATTGATACAATTGCTTCTTCCAGAAACCTTTTTTCTGCTTTCTTTTCCTAGCAAAACCCTATCGCAGTTTGAACATTTGGGCAAAAGATAGGATTCTTCCTGAAACCCTCCCTGAGCCTCAGGGGGGAGAAGTGCTCTCTCCCGAGTGCTCCGGAGTCTGGGGCGCGGATCTCAGGTACACGGGAGCTACTCACTTCCCACCTGCTTCTCCCTCCGCAGCGAAATCCTTGTGAGCAATGTCGCGTGATCAAAGCACCCGTGCCCCCCGCAGCCACCGCAGTGAGCCTTGGTTGGGTTCCCTTTGCCTATAAATCTCTCCTCCCAGTCCCCTTCCTCACCTTCTTCATTCCCACGCACCATCAGATCGCCACTTAGTAGGCACCTCAGGGAATTCCTCGCTCGCCCCAGTAGCGGGAGGTTCTTACAGCCCTGTAGGGAGCACCAATCCCAGCCTGCGGCTACACATTACCCAGGTGAAGTCTTGACCCACCCCCGATAAGTTCCAAGAGGGCAGGAGCTGTTCTGTTCACCACCGAATTCCCAGAGCCTAGTACCGTGCCTGGCACATAGTAGGTCCTCGCTGACATGTACTGAGTGAAAGAATGAATGAAGGACACATGTCACTTTCCTACTGTTGATGAAGCGAACCCATTTACCTTGGGGCAAGGTGGTAACATGCCGCAGAGAGCTGAGCCACCCTTTGCCCGCCGGGCCAGAAGCTGCCACACTCACTTCATACTCGGTGCCTGGTTCCAAATCTCCGATCACTTCCTCCTGTCAACGCCCAGAGAGGAAAGGTGTCAGCGGGCAAACCGGACAATTTCCACGAGGGCTGCATCCTGAGGTCCCTGTGAAATTGCACAGGACAAGAGGCTGTTTTGCCTCTCTGAGATGGGCCACATTTTCAAATTTGAGAAAAGGAAAACACCACGATATACTTCCCGAGGCTAGAGAATTAACCTTTACTGAACTCTACGCAATAAGTGTTTGAGTGTATACAGTGTGGAGAGGCTGGACAAAGGAATGATTGGTGTCCTGGGCGGGATGGAGCGAGATGGTGCGAGATTTCATCGTGCTACTCAGAACGGTGTGCCACTTAAAACTTGCATATTGTGCATTTTGGAGACTTTCCATTTAATACTTTCGACGGACTGTGGGGAATGAAACCGTGGAAAGTGAAACCTCGGATACGGGAGGACTCTGTGGTCTTCTGCGGGTCAGCTCATCCCGTGCTCCCTCTGCTTCCAGCACCCACCTTCGCTGGATGCCCCCACCCCAGATCTGCACCTCCAGCTCTGCCCTGCTCCCGACGTCCGGCCGTGGGTCTGTGACTGCCTCTAGAACATCTCTACCCGACAGCTACCCCGCGGCTCAGATTCGGCATAACCACAGCTCAGCTAACCCTTCCTCCGCCTCCCACTGAAAACAAAACTACACTTGGCTTCCCCTTCTGTCCTCTCCCTCGTTACCCAAACCGGAAACTCTTGACACCTTCCTCGCTGCTGGCCGCCCTCCCTCTCCACCACTGATGCTTCCCCACACAGTGACCGGTGCTCTCGTTTCGCTCGAATCTGGCGGTGTCACCGCGTCCTCGCAGATGCTCCAGCCCAAGTCCTGGTACCTTTGACAATGGGCTCCGACTCTCCCTGCCGCCAGTTACGCCTGCTCCTCCCTTGCAGACTCCGCCCCGCTGGAGTTGCCTTCCCGAACCCCAAATCCGACCATGTCCCCTCCCACCTTAAAGCCCCTCGGAAGAGCACATCCGTGTCCCCCTGTTTAATCCGTCCAGCACCACCTCCTGCCACCTCCCTCCCGCGCATTCCGTATTCCAGTCAGACACGAGAACTTGGCAGGGCTCAAATTTATGCCATTCCGTCCCGTGTCTCTGGGCCTTTGAACCTGCTGCTCCCTCCGCGCGAAGCACCCCCCTCCGCGGTCTCGCCGGGCGCACCCCGGCCCGCCCTTCATGACTCAGTGCAGCTGAGACGTTACCTCACTCCTTCGACCCCCAGCCTCCAGCCTGGGTTCCAGCTAGGCCCCCTCCTCTCTGCTTCCCGGTGTCCTTGGTGTACCTCAGTCTCAACAGCCCTCACCTGATGCTGTCATTGTCAGTGTGTTCTGTCACCTTTGTCTGTCACCTCTCCAGGGCAGGAAGCAAGTTCCTGTTCGTCCAGCATCCCAAGGCTTAGCATAGTATCATCAGACATGTAGCAAAGGCCTAAGCAATGCTTTCTGATGAACACGTATGTTAACTAGTGAGCGAACGGAGCAAAGGAATTAAACCTAGACGCCCCGTGTAAGTGCACGACCTCCTCCAGACCTAGCTCCTGCTGCCGGTCCCCCCACTCTGATGAACAGCAGCCGTACTGCTGCTGCAAGCGCTGGAGTCAGCGAGTAACGCCAGGGACGGGGCTGCCTCCTCTCACCCGCCTCCCTCCAGCCACCAGCACTCGCCTCTCGGACCTGCTCGCCTCTTCCGCTTCCTCTGAATCCTGGCCGCGGCCGTGCCTACCGCCACCTGGAGACCGTCTGTCTCCCATCCCGCCCTCCTGCTCCTGCTCTCTCCTACACACAGCTCCACGAGGATCCTTGGCTGAACATACGGATCTGCTTCCACAGCCCCGCCTGCTCGAATTCTCTGCATCTGGGCACCCTGGTTCCACCATCTGGCCCTTGGTCGGATGTCAAGCTGGGCTCAGAGGCTGGACGTAGCAGGTGGACGCCAGACTCGGTTCTCACTGGTCCCCCAGCTGCAGGCCTAGCTTGTCCCACGGAAGCAGAGGTGTAGTGTCAGACCACACGCTGTTCTCACAGGCTTCTGCTTTAGGGTCCTTTTCCCAGTGAATTCGTTGTGTGAAGTGTGGAGGTAGTGCTGCAGTCTCACGGGTCATTGTTGTAGACATTAGCCGTAGACACTAGCTGTGTTGTAGATACGGGCCAATACCCAATACGGCTACCGCTAGTCACCATGTGCGGTTTCTCCGCTCCAGGAACACCACAGCCTGGCTGAGTCCTTCCTTCCGTCCTGCGAGGTGGGGGTCACTCTCATGGTCATTTATAGAAGATCAAAGGGATCCCCGAAAAGGGAACTATGTCCTCGAGGACATATATTTATGGAGTGACAAGGTGAGCATTTCAAGACTCCAAGGCTACCATCCTTATCGTAAGCACCGAAGGCCAGGTGCTTATTATTTTATCTATAAACACAGAAGTTTGTGTACCAGAAACTTAGAAGTTATCACTGCACGTCAGCACTTAAGTACCGGACCCCGGTCTCAGACCTCACCGTCACTCCCTCCCGTGCTGCATCCTGTCCTTCTGCCGGGAACCCGGCCGCAGGCTCCCAACAACGATGCTGCAATGACGTCGTCTTGCTCTCTAGCGGGACTTGGGGCCACTACACTGGGAGGGGCTCCGTTGGCAGGGCTGAGCAGAGGCCCGGAGGGACAGCCCTGGGGGAGGGGCCAGAAGACCAGGCTCCTACAACGGCAGCTCGTAACCTTGGACTCAACTCTCCGAGTCAGGGCTGGTTCTCAGCTGGGGATATCCAGCATCGTCAGATGGAAGGCACCAGAGAAAGAAAAGAGCCCTCCCTTCCAAACGAGCCTCTCCCAAGGGTGCGGAGGAAGGCTGTGCAGGCCGGAGTGCAGGGCGGGGCCGGAGGGACTTCCACTCCCTGGGTGGCCACAGACCGTTAGAGGGCACCTCCCAGGGTTTCTCTGGGGGGGAGGCGGCGGTGGCTCTGGGCCAGGACAAACCTTTCTCGAGTGGGCCTGTCCTGTTTACGGCAAGACAGTCAGCATCGCTGAAGCCTGTCCAGTCAGATGCCCACACGCATCTCCACGCGCCCCACGGGGGATGGAGGAACCCCGGGCTGGGAAACATGACCATCAAGCCTTTCGCTTTACAGTCAAAGGGATGTCCGGAGGGGTTCCGTGACCTTGCCCCAACTGACCCTTGCTCTGGTGACAGGGCTAGGTGCGGCCTCAGGATCCCTGGCTCCGCTGTCTCTCTCTGACCTCGGGGAACACCCGCACAGAGTCACTGTCGGGGCAACAAGAGCAGAGGCACCCGGGCAGGGTGGCAGTGCGCTCCCCGGGCGGGCAAGACAATCTACCGAGAGGAAACAGGGGAACTTCCTGTTTGTTTATTCTCCTCCTTCCAAGTCCTGTGGGACTCATACAGCATATAATGTATTAGTAGAGTAGCATATGTGTATAATTAATAAGTCCATAATATACATATATTGGTATATGTTCCAATATTTATTAACTGATGATATATGTGATCAAAAAGTGTGGAGACCACCAGGTTGAACATCATTTTCTATCTCTCTCTCTAAGAAATGACCAGCTTGCCCTGATGTGTTTTCCTGCTTATGTTTCCAGGATGAAACTGTAGGTTGCTCTTCTAAGAAAAGGTGTCCAACGCTAATCAAGTCAGAAGTCTCTATACAGGCGGATGATGAAAGAATGCCTCAGAATTCCTCAGCCAGGTAATTTGAGCCATTCCATTATTTGTCAACCCAATCTTTTGCTCGGCATTTGACCCAAGAAGGCAAGCCCCCAGCTTTAGGGGGCCGCTCCTGCCCTGCTGAGGCCCGGAACAGCCAGAGGAGGAAACCGCCCCCACAGTGGTGCTCACTGGTTTGAATGTTTCCTTTCTGTTGCAGTCTTTTCTACCTAGTTTTGGAACAGAGCTAAAATCACTTCAACCTTTAAAAGTGATCCCCTCAACCTCACTCCGCTGTGTGAAGTGAAGCAGTGTGTACCAAGGTGCCTCCTTCCTGCCCTGGCCGGGCGGCTCAGACGGTTGGAGCGTCGTCCCACAAACTGGAAGGTCGCAGGTTTGATCCCTGGTCGGGGCACATACGCAGGTTTCAGGATCAATACCCAGTCAGGGTGTGAGTGGGAGGCAAGCGATCGATGTTTCTCTCTCACGTTGATGTCTGTCTCTCTGTCTAACTCTCTCTGTCTCTCTGTCTCTCTCTAAAAACCAACAAACAGCCTCGGGTGAAGATTAAAAAAAAAACAAAAGGTGGCTTCTTCCCAAATGACTAACAATGCACCTGGGATACTGTGCCTTCATCAGTAGGAAGGAGATGTGTAAAAGTAACATTTTGATCAAAAGAGACCCCCTGGTTCCTGGGTTAGGGCAAAAGTTTAACTTCCCAAAAGTTCCGAAAGGATACTTACAAAAATCACCTGAGGACCGGACTGCCCCTGCAAAGGAGAAAACAAGCCAGCGTGAAGAGGAAAGGAGAACTTCCAGGAGTGAAGTGCACCCACCTGGGGCACCTCCACCCCACCCCGCCCAGGGCCACCCAGCCTCCCTTCGCAACAGGGACTCTGCGGACCCCTCGCCCGGCCCTTCCTCCGCGCGGGGATGCTCTGAGGGCTCCGTGACCGTGACCTCGTCTAATGCCCTAACGTAACAGGGTGCTCCAGGGTGACGTGATGCAGGGCAGCGGTCCCCACACTGCCTCTGTTCACGCCACCTTCAGTGCCTCAGGCGGATTGTTACAGCAGCTCTGGTCCAAAAGAAATGCCCAGCAGCATCCTTGTCTGGTAGTTACACCCAATCGATGGTCGTACCAGCTCACAAAGGAGCAGGAGCTGTTTCCTTTGAACACCCAAGTGCAAACATTCCACCGTGCCCCAGGGATTGGCTGCAGGGCCCTGGGGCGCCCTGGCCCGCAGTTTGCAACCGGAGACCCACTATCTGCAGATAGGGACGATTTGACTCCCTGTGGCGTTGATGAGGGAACAGAGACCAGCGAGGTTACCCAGCTGGTTGGTGGGCTGTCATGCGAGCCATCCGAATCCAGAGCCCCTCTGCCCTCTTCCCGGCTCACAGCCTTTATAGGTCACTCCGTCCTCTCGCCAGCCCTGTGTTCTGCACGTGCCCCACCCCCAGCCAAACACGCGGCAGCGGGCATGTACCCACACACGCACACTCCTTCCTTTTGACCTGAATGGCCCTCCCTCTTTCGCCTTCCGAGAACCAGCCCAGCTTCAATTCTCAGCCCCAAATGTCACCACCTCTCGACCACCTGCTCCTACACGCATCATCTCGGCCTCTTCAAAACCCCAGCCTGCCTGTTCAGTGCCTATTCATGACATCTGACCTCACTGACCACTCTCTAACCACTCTGTAACCACTCAGCCAGTGTGACTGCAGTTTTCCCAACAAGCCCGAAAGCTGTCCAGGAACAGGGGCCTCTGCTTGTCTGGTGAGAACAGCAGCCACCGCGGAAGGTGCGGGAAACCCGCAAGGCGGGCAAACGCTGGGACCGCACAGCACCCTCTAACGCCTGGCTGCGGTCAGCAGAGAGGACACACATTCCCTCAAGGGCAATGACCGTCAGGAACGGTGACGGACATCTACGCAGCTGCTTGCACATTTTACCGAGGGCATCTACAGGCACAGTCTTAGCTGGCACTCGCCACAGGGTAATCGTCACACCCCTTCCACGGGCGAAAGCTGAGGTTCAGGCAGGATAAGGGACTTCGGACAGAGTCACCGACCTGTAGGTATAGGAAGGGGGTCCGGAAACCCGGTGCCTGTCCCCTCCTGGTCCTCTCTCTGTTTTGCGTTGGCACTGCGGTGGCCGTCCCGCTAAGGCCATGTCCTCCGAAGTGCACATTCAGGGTCCACACGTCCAGCCCAGGTTCACATGGCAGGGCAGGATCTTGGCCTCAGAGGCACTCCCCTGACTCCAGAACACCCGTCACCAGCCCTGTGCCCTCCCCGCCTGCACTGCTGCAGCCACACTCACCGCAGGACGGCAGGCAAGTGGCCGGGGACACTGCTAAGACAGTGCCGGCCCCCTGATGGGCCCCCTGGCTTGTTGAAACGTCCAGTGCCGCCGAGGGGAGGCTGACCCTCAATGGACGGTCCTCCAGATAAGGCCAACCCAACACCCCCCGTTAGGGCAGAGTCAGCCGCAGAGCTCAGGGCCTCGGGCCTCGTCAGCTGAGGCAGATGAGGGGAGGTCGGGGCAGAAGCCTGGGATCAGAAGCGTATCAGGCGAAGTCCGAGCAAGCTGAAAATGCTCTCCTTCTGGAGTCGTGGGGCCTCTGGTAGGCGTAGCCGGAGCACGGCTCAGGAGCCCTGGGTTACCGTCGACGCTGCAGCTGGCTAACGTGTGATTTGGGTACAGTCGTGTCAGCTCTGGGAGTCTCAGCGTCCTTGCCAGTCGCTCAAATGAGGCCGCGTGAGGGATGGAGCCTGGCAGGTGACCGGTGCTCAGGAAGGGACGGCGACTTATCACCTGAGCAAACCGGCTTCCACGCGCAGCGCCCGGAAGGCACACACCCCACGGGAGTTCCCAGCATGACCGAGCGCTGCCCTTAGAGCAGCATTCTGGGCACAGACGCCAGCTCCTCACAGAGAGGCGGCCTGTGGGCCAGTTGTAGAACGGAGAAGGGGAAGGGGAGCGAGAGAGGATGGAACATGCCTAAGGCAGAAAAAGTCACCCAGCGGGACCGTGACAGGAGACAGAAGAAACGGATGAAGAAAAGCCAGCAACGACCGGGCAGTGGAAGGACGGGGTGTCCAGCTCCAGCAGAAAGATAAATAACGTGGACCCTCTGAATGTACACTTCAGATGACATCATTGTCTCCTGCGTTGTGTCTCCGGGCAGGGCTGAGGGCACAGATGTGTCATGTTTGTGGATAAAGCTTCACTGAGATTTCAAAACACTTGGACTCGAACTTTTTGAAAAAAAAAAAGGGGGAAACAGCTGGAAGGGGCTTTTCCCTGCATGATAAGCTGGAAGCTGGAGTCCAGGATTCCAGCGCTGGCGCCAGAACTTTCTTCCTGTGGCTGCCTTCCCGGAGGTGTAGACGTGCGTGGGCGTGAAAGGCAGCCACACACTCCCAAGGACCACACCACACACTCGCTGTTATTGGTGCATACGTAGACACACACACACCCCAAAGTAGAAACACTCCCGAATGTCACTGGAAGGGCAGATGCTTGGCACGCAGGTACTCACGTGGGTGGCGATGTCCTGGCTGAGCTGCACGTGGTGGTGCCGCTCCTGTGGCGGTTTATCCGCGCCGACCGCATTGTAAAAGACCTAGGAAAGCCGCAGACACACGGGTGAGGGGGGCGGGACTTCTGCAGCGCACCGAGCCCGCGCGCTCGACGCACTGGCACCGCAGTGGGCCCCGAGGTGCCCGACCTCCCCTCACGCACTCTGCTCAGCAGCCAACATCAGACAGCTAACTGGCTGGCCAGGCCACCCGCCCGGAACCGCGCAGAGCCAGGCGGGGCCTCCTGCCGGTGAGCTGGGCTGGGGAGGGCTGGACCCTGTTTCTGTTGTTTTTCTGAAAACCACGCCTGTCAAGTAACCTTCCGTTTTCCCACGTTTGGATACGTGAATCAGGAAACACATTTCTCTACTTTAAGAAGAGAGCAGGACAAAGGGCATTGACAAGTGGCCACCCTCCCTCAGTGAGAGGATGACAGGTGGGCGCGGGGGTCTGGAATGTCACTGCGGTGGGGCGTGGGGCATCGTCCCATCTGAAGTGGGCAGCCAGTGCTCCCAATCACCCCCGAGATCTGAGATCTCCAAATATTTATTCGAACTCTTCTGACTCCTAAAAAATTGGTTCCTTTCAAAGACACTGTTCAAAGAAAAGATTCTGGTGAACTGCAGTCAGTGTGGTGGGTGACCTCCGATGGGTAGCTCCTCCACCTGGCCAGTCCGCCTCTTCCCTTTAAGTCAGATTCTGCTTTATTTTGTACGTATCAGCAACATTCCACAGGCACTATCTATCTCCCGGGTGTCTGCTCTCGTCTAAATTTGACTGCGGACAACAGGACACAGGAATCATGTCCTCTCTGAATGGAGGAAGGTTGGGCAGACCCTAACTGACTTTCAGGGCCCTTACAAATGCCCTGGGAAGGGGGAGGCCTCCTCTGGTTTCAGGAGGGAGCACGGGGCAGGGATCCACACGGCAAGGCTGACGGAGGAGCGCACAGGTAGTGTGACCCAATGCTCCCAGTGCTGCGGGGCCCCCCCAGGGCCCAGGTACTCACGGTATACCCAGCGACGGGGCGCCTAGGATGCCTGGGCGTTTTCCATTGGATGCTGAAAGCCGTGCAGTTCAGTGCGTCCAGCGCGACGTGCAGAGGAGGCCCCGCCTTGCCTGTTTCGTTTTCGCGCAAACAAAAGAGATGGCGTGAGCAGGGCCGTGCGTCCCACCGGGGGCGCACTTACTTACACGGGGCACACGAGAGGGTGTCTGCAGACGGAGCGCTGGCAGTGCGGCCCGCGTCTCTCCCGCGAGACTTCGCCCGAGCTCCGCTGTCCCCTCCCCCAAGCTGGCGGCGCTAGGCAAGTCAGCCCAGCTATGCTCCCCCATCCCCCTGTCCTTTCGGCAACTTAGGGACCAGCAGAGGGAAACTGGGGTACCACAGATCGGACACTTCTGACGTGACTCTAGGAGCTTGTATGTATTAAAGCAGATAAATTCATTTTTTTTTAACTCAGTAACACATGATGTTTTATATACATGTCTCTCTATGGCCAGTACGTTCCCATGGCAGAGCGTTCCAGAATGTGGTTAAGTGTGAGGCTGGGGGTGGAGCATTTCCAACGTTTTACTGTACACTTACCGTAAATAATCTTACACTTACACACGATAAATGTTATGTCCATAAAAACAATATATCCAAATTGCCAACATTTAGAAAAGACAAAAATAATAATCTCACCATTTGGAAGTCTTGTCAATATTTTAGTAGAGTATACCTCCTTTTAGTCAATTTTATTCAAGTGTTTCAATGCAATTTTTCAAATATTTATGTGTGCACATATATTTTTACTCTGCTGATTGTTGTGATTGTTGTGTTGTGTCTGCTGATTGTTATATATGTACTAAATATATAATATGTATTTATAGTTTTAAACTCTGGATTCCCTAGGACAGTCCTGATTCTAAACTATGTCCCATGACCTTGTCCCCTTGGATTCTCTGTCATGGTGGAAGTTCGAGGTCATCGCCACCAGGCCTCACAGGACATGGAGGCCAAGAGAATGGCCCGGGCCAGGTCTTACGATGTCTAGGGCCCTGGCTTCATGTCTCCAGGAAAATTCTGAACTAGACCCAGTGGGGAAGACCAGTGCTCCTAGCAAGCAACTTTTATATAGACTTGCTCAGACACCCTGCATACCAATTGGAAGATGTTTTCTTCTTCCTCAAAAAACTTGACATTTATATGATGCTGTTATTATTATTATTATTATTATTATTATTATTATTATTATTTTAGGACCATTTTAGAATGAGTAAAATTAGGGAAATATTTGCAAACCATATACCTGATAAGGGGTCAATGTTCAAAATGCAAAAGGGACTCACACAGCTCAACAGCAAAATACAACCAATCCCATTTAAAAATGGACAAAGGATCTGAATAGGCCTTTTCCACAGAAGACATGCAAATAGCCAAGAGGCACATCCAAGGTGTTCAACATCCTGAACCACCAAGAAAATGTAGGTCAAAACCACGGTGAGGCATCTCCTCGCACCGGCAGAGTGGCGATTACCAGACGGACACGAGATGACCAAAGCGGACAAGGGTGTGGGGAACAGAGAGTCCTCGGGCCCCGACATGAGGTCCTGTGGGTGGGACAGAGGGCGGAGACCGTGGGAAACACGGCAGGGGTGCCCTTCCTCTCGCCCGGCCTCAGCGTCCGCGTTCTTGGAGGCTCCGCCCAGGCCCCTCTGCTCAGCCCCACCGTGCCCTCCCCCTGGGCGCCCTCACCCCTGCCAGCCGCAGCCCCTGGCGAGTGTGCCGGTGGCTCCCCACTCTATTTCCCCGGCCCGACCTCTTTCAGAGGGCAAGCCTGCGTGCATACCCAACTGCCAAGTGACCCAGATGCCACCAGGCCTCTAAAAGTCAACGTGTCGAAACTGAATTCATTACCTTTCCCTTCAACCTGAGCCCCTCCGGTCATCCCCGTCCTGGCAAACAGCATCGCTGTCCACCGTGACTTCCCAAAACCTGGCAGTCACCCTCGGCGTCAAATAGGTCACACGGCATCCATCCTTTCCTTTTCACGGGGGCCTCAGACTCCTCTTCAACCCAGTGCCTGGTGCAGCACTGCCATTGTTCGGAGCTATGCATGCAGCGGAACCTATCTGCCATTGGCCAAGACTTCCCCACTGGTTTCTCGAACCTTTCTGGATCCTAAGAGATACAGTTCCTTCCCATAGCTTCCACAGCCTGCAAGACCCCCCTCCCTCTGGAGAACGTGGGTTAGTAAACCACATGAAACCTTTTTTCTGCAAAGCAGTTGAATGCAACATGAAGGCTGTTGGGGCCATGGGGCTGGTGGCTCTAAAACTTGTGAGTAGAATTTATCTGAAGAAACCCAAAACACCAATTTGAAAGACGATGGGCACCCCCCTATGTGCACTGCAGCGTTATTTGCAACAGCCAAATCTGGAAGCAGCCCGAGTGTCCATCAAGTAGATGAGTGAATAAAAAATGCTCTGGTACATTTACACGAGGGAATATTGCTCAGCTGTAAAAATGTAGGAAATCTTACCCTTTGTGACAGCATGGGTGGACCTGGAGAACATTACGCTAAGTGAAATAAGCCAGTCAGAGAAAGACAAGTACCATATGGTCTCACTCATATGTGGTATCTAATGAACACAATTAATGAACAAGCAAAACTGAGACAGACTCACAGGTAGAGAGCAGGCTGACAGCTGTCGGGCGTGGGGAGAAGGTTGGGAGGCTGAGTGAGGGGGTAGAGGGATTGAGCAAAAAAGAGAACAAATTCACGGACACGGACGACAGCGTGGTGCTCGCTGGGGGAGGCGGGCTCGGGGGTGTGGAAGAGGGTCAAGGCGGGACAAATAGAGTGGTAAACACATAATGCAGCATACAGATAAGGTGTTGTGGAATGACGCCCCTGAAACCTATGTAGTGTTGTTGACCAGCGCCACCCCAGGAGTTTGAATGAAGAGGAAGAGGGAGACGTGTGAGCAGCAGGCATGTGTGAGTGGCCCGCAGGTGGGCAGGCAGCACCAGAGGCCTGGCGTGGAGCTGCGTCTGCGTAGCAAACACAGCTCCTGGCTCCCGGCCTGTTTGTCTGACGTGCCCTTGAGGTAGGGCAGGTCTCCAGCTGTATTTGCAGAGCAAGCTCGCTGTTCACACGCAGATGGCACCACTACTGGTGTCTGTGCGGAGCAGGGCAGACTAAAGGCAGCCGTGAGCCACCAGGTGCCCGCCCCCGTCCCCTCCGGCCCGCCCCACCACAGAGACAGGGTCCCGGCAGGAAAGGGCAGAGGACCGGAAAGGCCAGAAAAAAACAGAGAAATCTCGGCAACACAGACTGACACCAAGTCCGGAGGCAGGAACACGACGGTACGCGGCCCGAGCTGGGCTCAGGGATCAGCGTATTTCCCTGCATCTTTCCCAGCTCCCCCGGGGAAAGATAAGAGTGGAACTAACTCTTCTCACATCCCTACAAATCCCGCGTCACCGGGAGAGAGTCTGACCCTTGGACAAGCCAAACCCCAGCTGTGTTTTCCAAAAACTCCGCACGAAGCAAAAATTTTGATAATGGTTATCACATGGAGGTCTTCTGGGGTTTTTATCTATTGGAATATAAAAACATACCAGTGCTTCCTCGATATTAAATAAAAAGTCCAAGTAGTAAGCCACTTACATGTGGACTGAACAAGGCTGGGGCGGTTAAATGCAAGAATCACACTCGTATTTAACCTACAGTAGTTACAATGACAGAGTAACTGTCATTCCATTTCTATTGTGTATATTACACAATAGAAGACTAACTCTGAAGAACTGAAGCCTTTAAAAGTAGCATAATACATTCATACAATACATCCTGAAGCGGTGTTCTCGTAAGCTACAAGCTATACTTCTTAGGAGATGAATAAATAAAAGGAGCGTTTCTTTGCCATGAGGGAGCTATATTCCTGGGCTTTCGTCTTTGGAGGGCTTTCAAAAGCGTATTACATTTCGGTACCAGAAACTTCTGAATAATTAGGTCAATTTCTTATGATAATTTTACATCATAAAATTCTTGAACTTCCTGAGCAAAATTCATCTCTGATTCAATTAGTTTTGTGATCCAATTCATCAAAACACTTCAAAATGCAAATAAAAAATCATCGGTGGCAGAAATACATTGCTAGCTTTTTACTTATTTGATTTTCATGGAATGAACCAAGTTATATTCACGGATGCACTGCAAAGTGCCCAGGCTGGCTGAAAAAAAAACCCCAGAAAATTCTGAATAGGGAAAAAACCTTATTTCCATCTTTTCAGGGCTTGTTCCAACTGTTAGTACTAACGCAGCCCTATGAATATGTAACTATTCAACACAAATCTGCCACCAGGGCCAACTCCACAGCGATGCCCTCAAGGCAGCAGTAAAAACGGGAGCTGAGACACAGACCAGTGTTTGTTCCCCTCACCCGGGACTCAGGAAATCCCCAGACACTCCAGGGAAGCATGAGGCGACTTCCAGAGCCCTGCCAGCCTCTTTGTAGGGGGGCAGAGGGTAGCATTCACATCACAAGCGTGCCTCCCTTTGAAATCCACCGTCCTAGAGCAGAATTTCAGACAGTAATGCCCCACTCCACAGTATAATTGCAGACAGTAATGCCCCACTCTAGAATATAATTCCAGAAAGTAATGCCCCACTCCAGAGTATAATTCCAGAGAGTAATGCCCCACTCTAGAGTATAATAGCAGAGTAATGTCCCACTCCTGAGTATAATTACAGAGAGTAATGCCCCACTCTAGAATATAATTGCAGACAGTAATGCCCTACTCCAGAGTATAATTCCAGAGAGTAATGCACCACTCCAGAGTATAATTCCAGAGAGTATTATGCCCCACTCCAGAGTATAACTGCAGAGTAATGCACCACTCCTGAGTATAATTACAGAGAGTAATGCCCCACTCTGGAATATAATTGCAGAGCAATGCCCCGCTGCAGAGTATAACTGCAGAATGTAACCCCACACTTCAGGCTGACACTCCCTGTTGCTGGCATGTGGCATCCCAGGCCAAGAAGACATTCCACCTGAGAGTCCAGGATGCCCCCCGCACCTGTAGACCAGTCCCCGAGTGCCCAAGACTCAAGATTCCCTGCCCAGAG